CCCCCCCGCCCCCCCCCTCCCCCCCCCCCCCCCCCAAAAAAAATAGAAAACCTGATTCGAACGATGAAGGCTCGTGTTCCAGGCCTGAAAAAATTGAAAAGAGAGCCTTAACTCGCGAACCCTTGAATCGGAACCTTGTTCTAATCATTAACGCACCTCCAATACCTCGGCGGCTTTAGCGATGAGGGTTTAGGGCTTAGGGTTTGGGGTTTAGGGGTTTAGGGTTTTGGGGTTTAGGGTTTAGGGATTAGGGTTTTGGCGTTTAAGGGTTTAGGGACTAGCGTTTTGGGTTTAGGGTTTAGGGCTTTGGGTTTGGGGTTTGGTTCTTGGGGTTTAGGCTTTGCGGTTGGGGGTTGGGTTTTTGGAGTTTAGGGCTTAGGGTTTGGGGTTTGGTTTTGGGCTTTGTTCAGCCAGTTGGAAAGTGCAGGGTTTTGGATTTTGCATATAAGCGGCCTTAGGGGATAGGATTCGATGCCTTCATGGTCCCAGAACTTTCCTTTCGTAGTGTGAGGTACCTTTCGAGGGTGGTGTTATTTCCAGATTCTCCCATGTTCCGTTCTTCGTACCCAGTGCGCTCCATGTTCATGAAAGAGAGAGTTCTCGCTGAAGTATGGTACCTCTGATTCTTGCACTGCTTCTGAGTTGAGGCATATCTGCGCTGTGGGTTTTCTGGATACCGGTTGCAATTGCCCGTAAGAGCCCAGCAGCACAGTCACATAAGTCTGTAAGTATATTTAGTGTGCAGTTTACATATGTTTTTACATATGTGTATGGATGTGTGCATGTGTATATACATGTACATCTACATACACATATGCATATACAGCTACATATATACATAAACATACACATACATACAGACCAATAACATATATCGGTATATGCATGTATGTACGTACGGGGGGGATGCATGCCTGCATGCCTGCATGGATTCATGCATTTATGCAAGTATATAGATAATGTATGTACGTATGTATGTACGTATGTATGTACGTATGTATGTACGTATGTATGTATGTATGTATGTATGTATGTACGTATGTATTTATGTATGTATGTCTCTTTCTGTGCGTGTGTAGGCCCGGTTTAGGGCTTCGAGCTGCAAGTTTGCGACAGAGAAGGCTTCAGATGTCTGGTCCTTCGAGGTTCAGTGTTGTGGGGTTCCAGGGTTCCTTAGAATTCTGTTTAGGGTTTAGGGTTTAGGGTTTAGGGTTTCTGATATAGGGGCCTTAATAGTTAGAATAGGGTTTTGGGGTATGTTGTACTATAACTATGATAAGGAACCCCCAACACCTTGCTCGAATTATTGAGGCCCCTACAATTTACATAACGGGCTTCTGCACACAGGCACCTGCCATGTAGGTAGCGGGGCTTCCAGCAGGAGGGGTGCTTAAATACGTAAACAAAAACAATACATCTCCACCTATGTGACGCCAACCCTCCAAGAACAGTGGAAAGTGCTGCATTCAGATAGGACGATCCCTAAAAACCCTTAATAATTTAAGCCTTTAACTGTAAGCCCCAGACCCTCAAGCCCTAAACCCTAAAACGTAAACTAAACCTTCTAAACAAGGAGCCTTAAGCTATACAGTAGACCTGAACGCCCGAAGCTAAAGTAAGCTTCAAACTCCAATCCCTAAACGCATAGAAGCCCGAAGCTCAAGTTGGCTCCTGCCAGGATGCACCGTCCACGCACTGTTCGGACGCAGCAGGCTTCTGCGACGTGTGCTGAGATCTGTGAGGAGAACTTGAGAATATAGGGTCCTCAATGATTACCTACACTATTCCTGGGTGTTCCTTATGATAGTCATAGTATAATGGGCCCCAAAACCCTATTCTAATTGTTAAGGCCCCCATATTGTGAGTTTAAGGTTTTAGGGTTTAGGGGAAGATTTGAGCCTGGATCAGTGGGTGCTCTTTTTGTTGCGTTGCAACAAGTGATAGCGCTGCCAACATTAGAATCACGTTTAGGGTTTAGGGCTTTGGGTTTTGGGCTTTGGGTTTAGGGCTTAGTGCCCAAATGCCACCGAACCCAGCTAAATTGAATGTAGTCTTGGTTTAGAGACTACAGCCTGTCTTGGAGGTGTTGCTGCTGCCGCCGTCCGCTGCACGAACTTCGTGGCGGAGGATACGTTCAGATTTGGCAGTTTCCGAAAATAGGGGACCCTAATATAGCACCCTAAATAATAGGATCCTTATTATAAGGACCCCAAAATAAGGTACCCCAACTTTCGGAAACCCCCATTTGGGTGCTCAGGATGACAGTATGCTTTCTTGTTTCGTAGAAGCTCTTGCATGAGATCGGACCCCCTGTAGGAACCCGATCATGGGTTAGTCGAGTCAGTACACAAACCGTGAAATCCTAAGGTCTAAATCGCAATAGTTCAGGGCTTGTGGAGCTAAGTGGTAGAGCCTGAGCCTAAGACTACGGTGGTCATCGGTGTGTGCAGAACATGCTCTACCCTGTTCACCGTACCACTGGCCGTCACAGCATTGTTCAATCCTGCATTATTCAACGCATGCGCCACGGCTCTATGTATGTGTGTAGTTTGTATATATATATATATATATATTGCATGGCTGTGTGTATATATATATATATGTGCACATATCCCACGGACAGATCAGAAGCACTAGACTCCCGAAGACTGTTTTGTTGTTCAGGCCTTTACATTTGAGAGACACATGGCAGGAACAGCCCACTGTGCACCTGGTCGGCAACGCCTCACGCCTGCTGACGGATGCCGCGTTGCGCCTTTTCTCGCGAGCATTTTTGGTCGGATTCTAAAAAGACAAAGCTTCGGAACAGTCTTCAAGACTGCATCACGGCAGAATCGCCATGAACAAGCTACTGTAAGTTATGATTACCATCATCGCAATTATCAGTTGCATTTTCACTTGGGATGCCTGGCGATTGTGTAGACGCGTGCTGCGTATAGTGCGCTTTAATGTGGCGGAAATGCAGACTGCTGTGACAACACTGTTATGGCACCTTGAAGAATGTGCTCGGGTTCTCAGCAGTAGCAACAGTGCCCCAGTCCCAAGTGTTGAATCACACCCCTAAACCCTAAACCCTAAACCGCTATATAGTAAGGAGCCCTGCTCCCTAGACCGAGAATGGGCATGAAGCCCGCACATAGATGCACCTTGCCGCATGATCAGCTGGAAACTGGGGATTCCGGAATGGTTTAAGTCCTATCTTGGAGAGTCTCCTATGCAGTCTGGTGGACAATGATAACCCGGCATACAAGCACCTTAATGAAGGGCTAGTTAAAAATAATGGCAACTAAAGTTACCCCTTGTTTGCAGAAGCTTGTTGCAGGTAGCTCATGGTTTCCGACTCCGAACTCTTTGATCGAGAGACCCCGCGATATGCTAGAAGCTCATTGATCCTGCACAGGTTGCTTAGACAAGCTTGACGTACATTTACCCATCACTTCGATAGTTTGACTTCTAGCCCTAACCCGCCAGGTACGTACTACATAGGTTACTGAGCCCTGGTTTAGGGTTTAGGGTTTACCTGGGACCCTGGATCTGGTAAA